CAAAACCTTATTTTCTCCGAATATTTTATGAAAGAGTAAGTCAAAAAATTCATAATTTAACAAAAAAACAGTTTCACGACTATTTAAAGATACATGCAATGGCCCAATCATTGGAACAATATGCAAAATTTGTTCCGATATTCCAGATCTTATGGCTTTAATATGATGTACAATGGCACGCCGTATATAAAGTTGTCCAGGATAGTCTATAGGCACTACTAATACCTGTGTTTCCAAGTAGGTTTTTATTTCAGGATTATCTATTAAGTGTTTAACTACAACTACATAATCTTTGGTTGATTTAAGGGACTCTTTTTTTAGATTAACCAGCTTTGTATTCTCCATACTTCGATCAGTGCGGCGTTGTTCGATTCTGTCATCGTAGCTATGAATTAAAAGCTGCTCAACTCGTTCATCATGGGTCTCTGACGTAGGTGTCAAATCTGTAAACGCCTGCTTCCGTCCTGTATAACCAAGCCATAAATGAGGAAAGAAAAATGAGTTAGCATTTGATATAATAATATTTGCATCAATACCCCCTTCATTGTGAATATTTTTTTCTTGGTTATGGGGGTTGTAAAACGGAATAGAAGCCACTTCTGGAATGGCTTTCAAAAGTATTGTAACAAAATGGGCAATATCATGCATATTTGTTATATCACAACGACGGTATTCGTGGATATTATAGAAATCATCCACATTAAGGACGACCAAATTTTCATTCTATTAAAAAATTAATTTATTAATTATTGTATTGTAAAACAAAACCTTTATACCCTATATAACGTTTATAAAAAAAAAAAAAAAAAAAAAAATTTTTTTTTATATTTACATTATCAGTTAAAAATTTTTCTACTGTCATTGCATGTTCTTTTGAACGCTGAGCCTTCTGCCTTGCAATGGTTATACATCTTACTGCCAAGCCCGCACCAGCTAATGTCTCTATTACCGATGAAGAAGTTCCAGACGCATCTAACATAAATCCAACATCTGCCTTAATTCCGTTAATAAACTTATTATTAAGCTCTGCTAAAAAATAACAAAATGCAACTAATCTTTTCTTATTTTTTTCGTTAGTCATATTATTTTTCTTTTGTGGGTTAGTTCCAGCTACTAATTGATTAAAGAAACCCTTCAACGATGGCTCAGCTTCCTCGAGCATTTTTTTAAATTCTTCTGGATCTAAAATAGGCTTTTCATTAAATGCTCGCTGCCTTGTATACAATACCCCCG